ATGTATTTAATACACGAGTTTCACAATTTGAGTTGAATTACTGAAATAAATGAACTTTTCCACGACATTCTTATTGAGATGCACCTGTATATCTGTGATATCAGTGGACAGGGTGTTGTCACAGTGGGCTGTGTCTTTTTGCAGAGCTGGACTTTTATGGATGCTCTCCATTAGTGTATGTCGATTGGTGATTTGTGATTTAATCTAGTATGACCTCAAACCAGGTCCATCTGCGCTCTTAAAAGTAAAGGTTCTATGGCATTCTCAGCAATGTCATAGAAGAATCTTTTCTGGTTCCGTAAAGAGTCTTGCAGTGAACAATTCTTAAAAGAGCCATTTTTTTCCTAGTGTGAAGAATATAACCTAAAGAGCCCTTTTCCACTATAAAGAACCTTTTGTGGAATGGAACAGTTCCATGAATGTCAAACATTCTTTACTAAGAACCTCTATTTTTACAGTTTTTCACATTTGCTAAGACACTACATCCCAAACTCTGAACCAAATTCTCAATAGCCTAAACCAGTTTGTCAAATAAATCACTCTTTCTGCGAAACCTTAAACAAGTTCAGGCAGTTTAGACACTATTTGCAGATCTCATGCACTCTTTTTTGCAAAACTTGCTTACAGTTTTTCACATTTGCTAAGACACTAAACCCCATACTCTGAACCAAATTCTCAATAGCCTAAACCAATTTGTCAAATAAATCACACATTCTCACTCACTAAAACGCAATTTGCACTGTGATAAACTTGTGATGCAAAACCCTAAACACAAGAAAGCAAAAGTTAAGCACAACTGCAACACGGTTGTTATTGTTTACACACAATAATTCAAAACAAATGTTCACACTTCTTTCAAAATTTGTGAATGTACAAAATATTCAAACTGCACAGATGGCATGGGTGCATCCATCAATCTGAGAGGTACGAAAGAGTGCGTATACGAGGTGGAGGAAGAGGAGGACGAGGAAGAGCAAGACCAAGAACAGTCATTTCAGATGAAATCAGAGCAACTGTGATAAACCATGTTCTTGTGCATGGAATGACAGAGGCAGGACAAAGAGTTCAACCTAAATTGAGCAGATTCTCTGGCCAACATAATCAGTTGGAAAGTTCAAAAGAAGAGTGGAAGAGAATCTTGTGTAGAATTGAAAGACTACCACATTAGGGTGGAAGAACTGGTCTGTGGTGAC